AATAAATATAATACAAATACATTCATTAAAATATGTCAATAAATTGATAAATTTAAGTTGAGCTTTCGTTGTTGCTGCCTGTCAACTTTGGCACAAACTCCCAAAAAGTCTCAAAGAAGCAAAGTTTTTTGTACATTTTGAAAAAAGCTACATTCCTTTGTGATTTTATTACTTAATATTTAGTTATTTATACATTACGTCTCCTTATTTATGTTATCGTTTGTCTCTGATATGCCCCGATTACACTTTAGTTTCTCTGGTAAAGCTAACTTCTGACTGAAAAAGTTTGCCAACTACACTGTCTTTCAATGTCGCAAATGACACACTAGCAGACTAAAGCTCATACAAATTAGGATTGAAACTTTTTCTCAGGAATTGACTCACTGCATTTGCTATGACTGTGTGTGGAAGACTTTTTTTTTTTATCAGATAACACCAGTTGCACTTTCACCACGCCATGCAACAGGTGCAGACAGAAAATAATGAACCAATGTTCCTGTTCACATTCAGTCACATTGGCCAGCCGAGCTCTGACTCTTTCTTTCTGTGTGTGTGTGTGTGTGTGTGTGTGTGTGTGTGTGTGTGTGCCTTGGGACCAGTTCGTTCATGACCTCACTGTGAAAATGTGTACCTCCTGATACAAGGACCCGCCGGTCGACAGCGTGAATCATGTGTTTGTCTTTGTGCATAAATAAAAAGTGTCAAAGCACATCAGAACTCCACAGTGAGGCTTGTTATCTCCACCTCCTTTCATTCTGAAACAACTTTTGTTCTTTCCTGCTTTTTATTTATTTTCTTTCTTTCTTTCTTTCTTTCTATGACTGCATTTACTCGGCTGGAATTCCTAAATGTCCGCTGGGAGGGGAAGATGGTGCAAGCTGTGGATGGTAGTGTGGATTGTGCAAACGAACAAACAAGCAGAGGTGAGTTACACAACTCAGGCACACATCCAACTGTCTGACCGTGATCAGATCATATTCCAGCTGAATTTTTCTCAATGCAGTGAAGTTTTTTGGAACCTTCCAGCCTCCTCTCTAAAGGGACAGTTGAGTAGGAAACACAATGAATGAAGCATGATTTCCCTTCTCAGTCCATCCTCACTGTAGAAACTAACTTTTTTCCCCCTCCTCCTCCTCCTCCTCCACTACAGGGACTGCTCACACCAGCTGTTTCACCGGAACATACATTTCTTAAGTTCATAAAAAAGTATGTCAGGACAGATTTCACTGCAGCACAACCCTAAATATGAACTTCTACCAGAGAAAAACAAATTAATGGAGTTTCTGTTTAGACGCACAACGTCTCACATCGCAAACACAACGCGGAACTGTACATTGAGTGTGTTTTGAATACAGAATGACAAATTAAATTCCACCGTAAGTTTTGTCAATGTAAGGTACAGGATATAAATATATATGTGTGTGTGTGATTCAGCTCTATGTCTGAAAACCTTGACTCATGACTACTTTAAAAAAAAGTATTAGATTTCATGGCCTAAAAACTAGCAGACAGCACTTTTCCACAATTCCCAAACCGTCAAAAAAAAACTTCTGTAGGTGGTTAAATAACAGCCTTCATACAAACCAGCAAATGTGCTCGCAGTAAATCTAACTTTACTTCTTTGCTTTTCCTCAAAGGAGGAACATTTGTGTCTTTATTTTAAATGCTGCCAACACTTGGTTCCCTTTCAACTCTGCTCTTCTTTATTATGTCGAACACTGCTGGATAGCCTGTCCTGCATGTTCATCATGTAGGAACAAAACAAAACATTAAAAAAAAAAAGGAGGAAATGAAATTCAAAAGAAAATCTAGCAAATTGTGGTTGTGTTTTCTTTCTTTCTTTCTTTCTTTCTTTCTTTCTTTCTTTCTTTTAAAAAAGTTCAGATAAAACTTTGGGAAACAAGCCTGAGGGCAAAAGATTTTTAATGTCTCATATAAAGAAAAATGGCAGAAAAAAATTGCATTTTTTAAATAAAAATAAGAGTTTTAAGTTGGGTTTTAATATCCAATCAATAAATTGATTCGGCCAGTTAGCCTTAACTTAACACTGATTGCAAAAAAATGATTTTAAAACACTTAATTTAATTAAGAGCTGATATGATTAAATAAACAGTGACTAAAAATGAACGTTAGAAAGAAAAAAAAAAGCTGGAAGTTGCGCAAAGTTTAATTTAATAAGTGTGACTGCGCGGTGACCTGCGCACTGCGCTCATTAAGCTCAACGGTCCCTCTGCTCCTTATATTAACACTTTGTGATGTAAATGACGAGGAAAATGTTAGTTTGTCGACCTCTGAAGACGTTAAACCGTTTTCTGTTTTGTTCTAGAAGGGGGGAAAAAAGGAAAAAAGATCCCCACTTTGTCTTGCAGATCTCCCCCTCTTTTCTTTTTTTCTTCCAACGCAGCCCATCAGGCCTGTGGAGCCCATTGACATAAGAAAGCACCAAACTACATAAAGCCTTTCACATCTTTAAGCACTATTAGGTTAAATCTTAGACAAGACAAAAGCATTTCACTGTTCTGTTTTCTCAGAATTACTAATCAGTGGAGAAAAAGGGGTTTAGACGTTTGTTTTTGATTTGGATCTTCACCACAGTGGGTTCAGTCTGATTTGCGTAAATTGTGCCATCCGCGTTAAGCCTCTTATCGCACTGCTTTCTACTTAAAACTTGGGTCAGATTTTGTCACCCAAGTGTAACACAACATGACAAAGAGCTGGAGTCACCACCGCCTGCCTGTGACGCACCACACTGCTTCTAATAAATGAGATTTAATTTTACAAAAAAACGACATTTCTCCTAAAATAACACAGAATCCAGCTAAATTCAAGTTCCAGCTTGACACACGAGCCTGAAGACGCGCCACCGTGAAGGTGCAATGTTGCACTGTGTCCAATAGAGATCACTGCACATCGTGGAAACGGGGCAGCTCCGTGCGTAATCTCCAGGCAGCTTCATATATATGTGTCAGTTCTCTCCCAACAAAATTACATCCGCGATAAAAATCAGTCTGCGATCGAAGCTCCAAACTAACAGTTAATTAAAAAGGACTAATCTGCCAGAGTCAACAGCCTGAAGAGTGCAAACAGCCACAGAACAAAGCAGAGAGTCACAAACAACATGTTGTCCGTTTATTGTGGGTTTAGCTTAAAGAAATAAAGTCCAAATATACAGGATAATTATTGTTAGAATTTGGTGCTTTTACGAGGTTGAAATTAGAATCATTGTAAATCAATTAGGAGTTGATTAGATTGCCTTGTAATGCTCCCAAACGGCGTTAATGTTGCTGCGTAAAAACGAATTAAACTCAGACAGTTCTCTGGAGCTATAACACACCAGAATAAACTACATATTAAAGCAGATTTGAGCTGTTGTTGGCTCACTGATCAATATCAGCATCGTTCTGCAGCACTGGATTCCAATTCCTCCATACATTTCCTCCACGGAGTAATAAAAGCGTCTCGATTGGCCAAACTTGTCACTTTTTGGTTTTTACGCACGAACCAAAAAAAAAAAAAGAGAGAGACTCAAAAAGAGCAGATTTTTTTTTTACCTGTACCACTCCAGTCCGTTCTCGTAGTTGCGGTCGAAGAAGTGCGGCTCCGCTCCCACGGCTCTGATGTCCGGATGAACCCGGAGAAACTCTAGCAGAGCCCGGGTGCCTCCTTTCTTCACCCCGATGATGATCGCCTGCGGCAGCTTCTTGCTCCCGGAGCCGTTGGAGAAGCTGGACATGGCGCTGGGGTCCGGTGCTCTCTGCTGCTCGGCCCGCATCTCGTCCCAGTCGTCGGCTCGGTCCGTCTCCAGCTCGTTATTGAGCAGGTCTCGGGACGCGGCGGTCCTGATGGACGGCTCCTCGTAGTCGCTCTCTATATCCTCCCACGGCTGCGGTTTGGCCAGCAGTCTGGACACCAGGTCCGTCCTGCCGCCGCCGCCGCTCTCTGTCCTCTTGCCCACCGCCGAGCCGGTCTCCTTGCCCCGGTAACTCTCCACCACCAAACTTGGCATGGTGGAGCAGTAGCCCACGCAGGAGTACAGCATATACACCCAGATTAAAAACATGATGCTGAGCAGAATTAGTTTCTTCTTCACGGGGCTGGACCAGAAGGCATACAGGCTGTGGCACAACAGGCTATATTCCATAAGCCTTTCGGTTAAAAATCATATCCCAGCGGCGCATATTGCCTTAAACTCACTCCCGGTGGCACCTCTGCAATCCGCGCAAAAATAAGCACATGCTCTCCCTACAACTGAAACTAAATAAACAAACAAATAAAAGCAAATAAAGAAAAAAAAAACTAAACTAAATATAATCGGAGAGAGCGATATATCCAGGAATGAAAAGGCATTGAGGAATTTTTCATCATAATTGTGGCTAAAATGTGAAAAACTGTTGAGCTGCGACAGACGCACCGCGGTGCTGCTCCGGAATCATCGCAGGTTTGTTAAAGCTGCTCCCTGAGCGCACGACCTTATACAGAGACACGAGGGAGACTGACGGCGGCGGCAGCCAATAGGAGCACGCGGAGTAAATATGCAGCCGTTTGTTGATAGAAGTGGACCAATCAGAGGCAGGGGTGGGAGGTGCCAGCCGTGGGAGCCTCGGTATGGAAATGAAGCGTGTGTGTGCGGGACTCTGCTGAGAGTTTGGAAAAACTTTTCTTATTAGAGTTCAATTAAGTGAAGTTTGTCTCGGCTGCAGACAGTTTGAATAATTCAGTCAGGCGCATTCTGACGTGTTTGACGCATTTTTGTCTCACTTTTTTTCCCAGCTGATTATTACACTATAAACAAAATAAACTCATAAATAAATTAGATTAGAAGTCCAGCACATAGGAATAAAAACCCTTCACGGATCATAAATAACCAGCAGGCCTATTTGAAACAATCAATACAAAGCTGCCATTCTGTCCAAATGAACGCAGACTTTGGGAAATTAAAGAGGTTTGACTTCTTCTGGCGCTGATTGAGAAGCAACGCAGAGGTCAATACTGTCCGTTCACGCCTTTAGAACCAACAAACTTAAACGGGGAAAGACAAAGTCAAACAGATAATAAATTATAAATGTGCGTTGTTTTAGTTAATTAATTTTACGCACGTGGAAACTATTAAAACTGATTTTAAAAAATGCCAAGAAAAGGAACAAAAACAAAATGTATAAATATAGATAGGCTAAATAGTAATAATCGTACTAATAATATTAATAACAATAATAACTGTTGGAACTTTTGTTTTGCATTTACCTCGTGTTAAACGTTTGCCTGAGTTGAATGCGTAATTACGCATTCTGGCAACTTTTCTTACTTCTCCAAGTACTTTTAACAAATTAATCCAGATGCTCCAAACAGCATGTTAATTCAGAAACAAAGTAAAGTTCCCTCCACTGGTGTAAATTTGCATTAAAAACCAATTCAACAAGTTTAATACATAATAGTGGATCACATTTCTTTTGGTTATTTAAAATATCGACTTCAGTGGAGCGATATTCTCGAACTACTCCGCTGAGTTTTTGTGGACATCGAGGCCTCCTTATAATCTTGAGAAGTGTGTTCAACGCTCAGCAAACAATCAGAAAATTCCTATTAATTAACAGCTAATATTTCTGAACCTTTTTGTTTTGTTTTCACAAGACATGTGGGAGGTTTACATTAACAGATAGAAACTGGAGCGTGCGTAAAAATAAAAAAAAAAAACAAAAAACGATCCATTGCATGTGCGCTGCAACGTGTCCAAAATCACACGTAATTTATTTAGACATCATTTTATTTAATACCTTTTTATTTTTTCAAAAATCCGAGAAAAACTTGCACAGCTCAGCAAACTCTTACAATAAAAACGTCCAACTTTGGCAATATGCACTTAATTTCCAATTTAGAGGGAAACAGAGAAAAGAAGGGGTGGGTGGGAGGGAGAGGAGGCACAGCGAATACTTTTCATTTGCCTGGAGATGACTCAAAACAGATCTGTAATTTAAACCTCGGGAACTTCGGCCGCATATGAAACAGTCAGACCCACTCAGAGACTATTTTTCATGTTTAAAAACGAAGGAGCAGATAGAATGAAACGTGCGCAAAAAATGTGTTTCATCCTACTTAAAACAGTTTTCTAGTTTTGGCTGCAATAGTTTAAAAAGAGTTACAGAGAAGAGACAAACTGCTGCCAAAATATCATCTAAAACTGTATTTAAAAAAAAAAAACAAAAACATGTCTTTTATTGTCATTTTCCTGAAGAAAATCAAATCAGACGACAACAGAAGGACTTGTTTGTGTTTATGATCCAGACTGAAAGTGTTTTCTTCTGTGACATCAAAGTAACTTTTTCAGCCTGATGTTCCTACAGGGACTTGTGGGTATAGATTTACAATGCTGCTTGTACAGTTTCAGTCTAAATATTGCTTTAGGATTACTGCAGCTATTTGGATTCTATTTTGCAACAACCGACCTTTGAAGAGAGGGCCAGAGGTCATCTGTCATCCTGAGATTTCACTGCTTGGTTTGAAGAGTCCTGGAATCCGAGCTGTTGTACAGTATTTCCCCCCCCTTCCCCCTCCATCCGTCCTCTGATGTGAGTCTCGGTGTGAATATTAAGGCTTTGCTGCGCTGGGGGCTGACTGCGGATTGCTGTTTGGGGACCCTCTCCTGTTTAGAGATGCATATTTCGCTCTTCTCTTTGTTGACTCTGGCACCAAAGCTCAGACTCGCAGCGGACGAGCAAATCACACGAATGATTTAATGAGTGATATCAGCTTTGGGAGAAAGAGGAGCCTTCATGTTTTTAGGAGTCGAATAAGGGGGAAGAGCACTTCTGGAATAATAGAGTTTTAAAAGTTTTCTTATGTTAATGTGGAAGAAGTCAGAAAATGTCATAAGCCGTTACAGGAATTTGTGGTTTCCCCAAATTATAATTTTTGTCTGTTGCACAAAAAAAAGTCTACTTGCCCAAATAAAATTAACTTAAAACTACATTTCCACATTACACCAGGCTCCAAACTAGTTGTAATGTCATCAAATCAACCCATAAATACAAGTCCTGGAGTCAAACTCAAGATGAGCACAGAGGAAAAATCGGCCTTTCGTGTCAAACTCGGCACATAAATCATTCTGCCAAGAGAAGGTCAAACATCCAGTGAAGTTACAAAAGCAAAATGTCCTTTTTTTTGAGTAAAGAGGCCCTTTAGGAAATCTACACTTCTTGCTTTAAAATGTCGGAACAACTCCTATACATCTGAGAACGAACTCGCCCAAGACTTTCACAGTTAATTATGACTGGTGCTAATTTCAAAGGATGAATTTACCTTTTATCAGAGCAGAAGCTCAAAGACTTTTTTTTTCTCTCTCCTTGTATAACCTGAGGAAAGCTGAGCAGCTACACATCTGATGCTGAAAATTAAAAAGCAAGAATTAGCCCAAAAAAAAGCAAAAAAAAAAACTTCAGAAAAGTAAGAAGAAAGAGGAGTTGCTTTTGAGGCTGAAGCCACAAGACAGTGGATGTTACAAACTATGACAGGTCATCACTTTGAGTCTTGGAGGTTGGTAAAGACATTCAATCTCCACTCAGGTTTTGCACAAGTGTGTGGGTTTTTTTTTCTTCTTCTCCCCAACTGTAACAGCTGGCTCAATCGCTCCACTTTCCTCCCCTCTGATATGAAACTCTGTATCCGGTCAGACACTTTACGAGGATGTCGAGCCGTTTCAGGTCTCTCGGCCTTGGCTAAATCCTATGGCCCCCTTCTTTCTTTCTTTTTTTTATTGAGGGGAGGATGGCAGCGATGGGGGGGAAGGGAAGGGAAGGGGCCGTGCTTGTTTCTCCAAGTGCGGTGATGGAAATGTAACCAAATACCAAAAACTAGAGGTGAAAGGGGCGGAAAGGGGAGCACATGTTGACTGACAGGTGCGGAGGTGGCCCTGCTAAATAGAGCTTATTGGAGGGACGGTGATTTTGTGCTTAAAGCGAGCATATCCACTAAGGCTATAATTGAAACTTAAATCCAGATATTACATGTGTGCCGGGTCGGCATCACCTAACGAGATGCGGTGGTCGTTTTGCGTGGAGCGTTTGATGAGAGACACAGTTTGTAACTCCTAGATAGACTTCTAAGTGAAAATGATGACACAGGAGACAGAGTAACAGTCGTGATGGGTTTATTGTTACAGAACATTTGCCCTTGTTTCTTCCAGGGGTGAACCATTCCCTTTGCTTTGCTTGCCGGCGAACCGTGTTGAAGTGAAGCTAATGAATCACCGGCGCTTTTGCTGGGGAGCGAAAGAGGCTGATTAACCGTCAAGTAACAGCGATCAAGTGAAAGTCGAGCAACACGCTGCGCTGTAGCTGCACCGGGATAAGGTTAAATTTGTCCTATTTCTTTTATACACTTAAAATCAAAGATAAATCTACTGATTACATAATTATTCTGCATTTTGCACAATGCATACCTGTGTGGACCAATTTACACTGTACAAGGTAATTTAAAATCAGTCATGTACAACACAGAGAGGAACTGGTGGCTCTCTATATAAATAAATACAGAATATATATATGTACAGCACACACATGTTCAAATGATTACAACCAAATGTAATAATTCAGTGTGTTTTCTGTAATTCGGCTGTTTTGATGCACATCGTTTCCTGATGTGCAGTGAGCACCAGTGGTAAAACAACGTGTCCGTCACCCAGCTCTCCTCCGAGCAGGCCGAGAGCAGCGTCGGGGTGAAAACCAAACGTCTCGGTTCGCTTCAGAGGCGTATCTGTGGGACTAGTTGGCTGGCAGTGACGGAGGTAAAGACGCCGGAGGCAGAGCGGCGTCCTCCTGACTTCTGCTGTACTTCTTGCAGGTGAGCGCCAGCAGCAGCAGCATGGGCAGGTGCCACAGGCTGCAGAAGAACAGCTTCCTGGCGCTGTTGCGGTCTCCCTTGTGGTAGAAGCGGAAGGCCAGGTAGCTGATGTACAGGTTGATGGGTAAGGAGATGAGGGGGAAGGTCCAGGTGGTGACGTCCAGCGCCGGCGCTACGGTTGACAGAGCGATCAGGCCCAGGCTGTGGCGCAGGGCCACCCGCCTGCACATGGCGGGGTGGGTGACGGACATCATGCGATAGCCGCCGCGGGAGTAGTCTTCTCTCAAGTTCCAGCTGAGGGCATTGAAGTGGGGGAACTGCCAGCTGTACAGGAAACCACCCAGCAACAAAGCACCTACGAGGAGGGAGAGAGGGGGGAGATATGGAGGGAGAAAGAGAAGAATGAGGAGGGAGGGGATTAATGACGCAGACTGCAGAGACTGAGGGACTCAAACTCATTTGAAATTTCTATTTTTTTGAAATGTTCTGACAGCTACATAAAAATTAATTTATTAAATATCAATTTTCACTGCATGTGTCTGATTGTATGCATCAGGTTTTTCATTTTAAAAAATAAATACCACACTGATGAGGTCTCAAAATCTCACATATCAAATATGATACACTCGGCGTTACAGGGTTAACACCTTGTCTGCGACTTCTTCTACAGGATTTAGAAAAGTTGTTTTATTTAATATGTAAGTATTAACATTCTGGCACATTTTCATGTCAAAACGGCCGCGTGAATGATTCACAAACAGACCTGTGGACTTTTGTGTTCACGCCAAGCACAACAGAGAGAGTCGGCACAACATGTAACAGAAAACCTCACAACAGAGAGCCACACGTACCGGTTTGCTTTTTGTTTTAGTAAATATGTAAAATAAAGTGTAAGGCTAAGACTGGAAACTAGTGAACACTGCTGGCAAAATGGTGCCTTTACAGTCTTCATAGAACATAACAGTTTAATGAAGCCACCGATTTTTTATTTTTATTTTTTAAAGCAATATGATTTCAATGGAATCAGCAGAAACTGAAACACATATTTGTAGAATATAAACGACCACCTGAGTGTTTCTCAGCAGTAACATGACGACACATAACTTGTACCGTTGTCATGAGATCTTTTTTAGGTGTGAGATATGAAACAATGTTGGCTTCATTGATCTGTAAACGTGACAGCATTCTGTCTTTCAGACAAGGGTCGCTTTCAGATGAACATTTCATTCAGACATGCCTACGCTGCGGCTGTGATATTTGCAGTTTGTGTGAGTACATCGACGGATGTATTCGTTAATGTGACGGCTTACAGTTCAGACGCTTCCATGTTAAAGAGGGAAATAGAAATCTTGCCAGGTCTGCAGCTTTTACGGAAAAATGTTCAGATGCTGTCAGATTATTTGGAAAGTAGTGCATGTCTGGAAAGATGCTTCAGCGTTTATAGTTCCAACTTCTAAACATTACTGTTTATGACATTAATTAGATTTTTTTTTTTTGCCCCAAAGCTCCACAGAAACATCACTACAGGTAATATGAAAATAAAGCTTTATGTAGTGTGAGATCAGTCCTGCTCAGAGACGATGAACCCAAAAAAATTGATTACACAGCAATAAAATTAATTACAGCTGCAGCAAATTATGACTGTTATATTTCCTTAATTTAATGGATAACTTGTTTATAAAATGTCCGTAAAATTATACGAAATTGGTCAAAAGCTCACAATGATATCTTCAAACTGCGCATTTAGTCAAAAGCCCAAAGATATTTTGTTTATTGCTCCACCAAACAGCTGGCAAGGCTGCGGTCTCGGAGGCCAGATAAAACTATCGGAACTTTACAAAGCAGCTCTTTGTCCTACGAAGTGGAAATAGCAGAGGCATTCAGCTCACGCTAATATTCTCGGTTTGTGTTTCATCACACAGCGGCAAATTTGAAAGGTGAGGGTAGTAACAACACAAACATGAAGTGAATCAGGGCAGTGATACGGAGGCGGCGGAATGTGGCCGTCTCTAATTGATCCTTAAGTGTCATTAAATGTCAGATAATAACAACTAAAAAGCCCACTTCACTGGAGAGGTTTGCTTGTTCTACCCTTTGAACAGTCCAAAACCCAAACACATCTGATTTACAGTGATATAAAACAGAGAAACGCAGTAAATCTACACAGCTGAGGAGCTGTGTCCAGGAAATATTTGGCATGTGTACTTCATAAATTACTTCAAGCTGAAGTTGTCCAGCAACCGAATAATACTGAACAACTTTCTACGTCAGCTACGGTCATACCTGGCTCCAGACAACCCGTTGCAGCCGTCCAGCCCATCACGGGAGGTATCGCGCCGACCACCGCTCCCACCCAGGTGTTGGTGATGCTGAGCCTCTTGAGCGGCGTGTAGCAGCAGGTGTACAGGAAGATGTTGAGGGCGCCCAGGAAGCCCGTCAAAGGGTTTACGGCCAGCGTGAGCAGAGCGACTCCAGGAACTCCGCAGGCCAGAGCGAAGGACACTGCATGGAGGGGGCTGCAATAGAAGAAAAACAGAGAGGGGGACATCAGCAAGACAAGAAAATACAAGAACAAGTTTAAAAGATGGGTTTTTAGAAGTTACAGTGCGCAGATTACGGCTTGGGAAAAAAAAAAAAGAAGATCACGATTGCCATGGGAACTATGGTATGATCAAGTTTTTGCGAGTTTGTGCAGACACCAGATAAGACAACGATAGCTCCACATGTTCAGCGCTGACTGACGCAGACCCATGGAGGGGAGGGGAGGGGGGGCAGCGTTCAGCAGCCGTGCAATGGCGGAGTCTCAAAACGGGAGGAAACTCATCTGATAAGAGTTTGTCAGGGATAAAAGTAGTCCAGCAAAATGAAGAGCATGTGCACACGCCAGAGATCAAAACTAGCTGAAGAAAACCACTGTGGCTCAGGCTTTTAGCCGGATGAAGACTTCCTCCCTCCTCCTCCTCCTCCTCCTCCTCCTCCCCTCGTCTCTAACTGAAAGCAGCGATGGCAAGGTCTGGTTCAAATTCACCAGTAAATGCTCCATAAATTAAAGAGAGGCTAGATTAAAATCTTGACCAAACGCAGGCCCTTTTTCTTCACAAAAAAGCAAACAGGGCTTTTATTTTGGTGGTGTGGCCGTGCAGGGAGATCGGTGCATTAATGTGATTAGTGGTGTTATGTCTGTTTTATGTGGGCTGGGATGGGGCCGGGCAGGCTGGCTATGGGCTGTTGACAGTCTGGCTGCGGGGTCGGCTCAGCGGGGGTTCGGGGAAGGGAGTACGTCACGCGGCCCGAGGCGGGTTTACTGTCCTGCGCTCACAGCCGCAGTCATAACGTCAGGTAGGTAAAGTCAACACAGGGAGCCCAAGATGTGGCCGCATGGTTAGACCACAGTCAAGGCCAGAGGGATTCAAAGGCTAAAACACAAGAGATTTACCCATTAGCTTGAAGAAACAGCATGAATGTACTTTAAAAAAAACCCAAAACAGGTTACCAGTGGAATATTTTAGCGGTCACAGAGGGCAAAGCAAACAAAACAACAATTCTGAACTGTTCAAAAGCCTGACCGGAAACACCGGTGGCTTCAGGGGGTTGGTGTAAAACTGGAAACAGACTACAAATTACCACGACGTCCACAAACACGTGAAGATTAATTTTTGTTTTTACAACCAGAATGGAGAATGCGTATAAAGGCGTGCTCCCTGGAAGGCCGATGGAGTAACTGCGACGTGAATTCTCACAACAAAAACATCCGAAAGACATCCATCAAAAACAGTTTTCCCTGTTTAATTTGTGCTTTGATTTACATAGAAAAAGAATGAAGAACACTGACTTTGTTGGAATGCTCAAGGCTGCAAAAAGACCTAAAGGTTCAGTTCTGCATGGAGATAAACATACATTAATTCCTACTCAAAGTAAATAACTTATTATTATTTTTATAGTTATATTGCATTTAGACATTTAATAGTTTATTACTTTAAAATAACAGCACGATTTCTAACATTTGTTTCCTCTCTCAGCACAATTTACATGTTATTTTACACATTATTTTCCTTATATTTAAATATTATTTTCCTTATATTTTATCTATCTATCTATCTATCTATCTATCTATCTATCTATCTATCTATCTATCTATCTATCTATCTATCTATCTATCTATCTATCTGTCTTTCAGATTTTTTTAAAATCTCCTAAAAGTGATTTTTGATTCAAGATTGAAATACTTTCAGTTCAGTCTTGACTTTATCTGACATAATCTCAAAATCTCAACAACACCGTGAGATGTTTTTGAAAGCTGTGGGGCCAACGAGCGGACATGGAGGTAAATTAATTTGTCAAATAGCTAAAATAGATGCCAAATTGTGAATCCAGTTTGCTGCGATTCCCAGACTATCTTTGCTTCAGCAATTGCAGTGTGTGTCATCTTCCTCGAGGGAGACAGAAAACGATCTACCGTGCGCCTTCTCGTGCCAAACCTTAAGTATTCCAGCATCACCACATGTGGAGGCCTCAAACTCGACAGGACCACAACAAAGGAAGGACGACAGTCATCCGCATTTCCCAAGAGACCAAATTAACAACGGGGAGGATGATGCACAACGGTTGTCCTGACAAGACAAACTGTTTCCAATGCTGACGTCATGTTGGGCAGAGCAAACCCCGACAGAACTGAAATTGGCTCGTAGAAAAGCCCCGTCGCGAAGACAACACGGAGAATGTGTAAAATGTGGCCTTCTGATGGCTTGTTTGACAGGACAGTCCAGCTTCCCATCTGTTCTCTGTCTTGACGCAAGATTGTATGTGTGAAGGAAGAGAGAGGAGACAAAGAGAAACACAGAGCAAGAGATAAAGCGTTTCTGTTTGTGTCAGAGACAGACAGACGTATACCTCCTCATGTCAGAGATGGACTAAAAGCCGGAGAGAAGAGGCTGTGTTTAGACAGCGAGAAAATGTTTCCAATAACCACCTCAAACACTGTGAGTGTCCACTTTTAAACAGCATGTCAATGGAGAATTCCTAAAACTGAGATGAGCTATCTGTGGGTGAAGGTGCAGTTATAGTGGGCTGTAAAGTGGCTATGAAGCTGGTGTATATTACCCGGCAACAAAGGTATTCAGCCTCTATTCTGGTGGCTGCATGTGGACTGGATTAGTAGTGGAGGGTCCTCTTATGTCAACAGGTAGCTTTGCTTTGGTTCTTCCTCAATAAAAACGAAAGGAGAGGCAGCTTCCTGGCACTCACAACGGGTCAGAGGACATGTGGCTGGTTTGTGTTGTTTTTAGTTCATGCATCAGTGAATATCTGTGCACCTGCTTGCTGCTGAAGTGTGGCAGTCTCTCAAAGAGGCAGGTAGAGAAAGGCATATCAAGTCACTGAGTACGACTTGTTGGAGCGTGGCACAGCATTAAAGTTCACCAAGTGCCAATGCAAAGGTTATCTGACATCTGAACAGTAAAGGCAGCGAACTAAGGGTGGCAGGCAAACTACACCCGACCCTCGACCTCGCCCTGCCTCCTTCCCAACCTGTTAGGAAGATTAAATTACACCTGACAGGTGTAAAGCAGAGAATCATCACTGCTGGCATGCACGTCTCGGCCCTCTGTCTGCCACTAACCTACATACACAGCTACGGGTTTCCTTCAACGCCATAAAGAACGCAATAACTAAAGATGACTGAAGGGTGGAAATCAATATGGGATGTGTGCTCAGTGCTACTGTTTTATTTAAGCTGGAGTCTTCATTATAATATTGCCTGCAAATGCACATAGGCTTTGACATCACAAGCTGTTAGGTCATGTTTCACTCCAGGAAAAAATCCCTCTGAAGCCCAAGGTAAGGATCAGGTCAGTGAGCAGGAGAACAGAGGTACACTTTGTCACTCACCCCAGTATGAAATGTACAAAAGGCTACTTGGTTAGGTGAGTAGAAGCTGTCACGTAGTGTTTCTGGGTTGCTACTGCACTAAACTCAACCCCAGCACATGCTCTGTTTTTTCCCTCCTCCTGCACATTATCCAGTCGTTCTTCACTCTCCTTTTAAAAACACTGCAAATAGGGTAGCAAATCTGTTACATAGAAGATTGTGAGAAAAATTCTAGTAACCCTCTGAAAGGGATGTTCTTATCTTAAAATAAAAAAAATGACCAAAGCTACAACATTTATCATTAAAAAAAAAAACAAAAAAACAAAAAGAACCGACAGTCCTTTAACTACTCATCCATAGTGTACAGTTCCATTCTTAAAATGATGCAAAGTCAAGCTTAAAATCATGATATTTAAATATCTGATAAATATATGATATTTATAATCAAAATCACTTTTTCTACATGTTTCACTTTAAAAAAATATTTAAAAAAAATACTAACACTAACCATATTTGGCAAAAAATAAACACTCTCTGATCTTTGGTACATTTGTGAAACCAAGACTGATTCAATATATAAAAAATAAACAACAACAACAAAAAAAATCAGACAAATTAAACTTTTGTTCTCCTTTGTGGCACTAAAGCTTTGTTTTACTGCACAAAAGACATTTTTAAGTTCTCTCTACTTCTAACCACGGTTCTGCTGTTCCCAGGCAGGTACAGGATGTTAGATTACAGTGAAAAATAAACCCTGTGTGTAAAAAATGTGACAGGACCAAAAAAAAAAAAAAAAGGTGTGAGACGGTTAAAGAAAGGAAATAAAGAGAGTGTACCTGATCTGTCCTCTGACAAGCGGGCGGTTCTTTGTACGGTTCATGTTGGAGTCGAAAGGCACCTCAAAGTACTGTTGAGAAAGAATAACAAGTATATTAGTCAACAGGTAGGAAACACAAAAACACATTACAAAATGACAAATCGTTCGACATGCAAGACACAATCACACCAAAAAGAAGGAAACAGACTGTGATATATCAACATATCTTTTGCTACTGCAGGCAGCAGTGAATATTCATCAGTTTGACTTCAATCGGAATTCAACACCACGCTGTAGATGCAGTTTAAGTGTTTTTTGTGTGTAGTTGTTGCACACCTCCTACACTGCAACTCGAGGGGTACAGATGTGGTTTGGAAAAATTCAAATGAGTTTTCAGCAATGTTGAGGCGTTGAAGTTGGGCTGAGATACAGACAGATGTGTTGCAAACATTCGGCAGATGCAAACAAAATGTGTGAATGGAAAGAAACAGCTATTATGGCATACGTTGTACATATGTTGCTCCTGTGAGCCTTCAAAGAAACGTACGTCACCTTGGCCAATTCATAAAGACTACAGCAGCACCGAATGTGGCGATCGTCTCCCTTTGTGAGCTTCTCTGTGCGACATATGAAAAGAAACAATGTGAGCGGAGCCGCTTTACGCCTGGTCATAGCAAACCTCTGAACCAAACGCTCATTCTGTACGCCGAGAGTAAATGGACTGGAGGTGGAAGGTGGAGGCAGCGAGCTGTCGGGTGGGAGGTGGTAGAGGTGGGGGTGTTCTGGGATACAACTATGTGAAAAACTACTTATACTCCTGTTTTATGATCTGCTCTGGAGGAGTATGCTTCAAAGTGCTCCCATGAGATTGGCAATGTGTGACTAAAATGCAAACATATGGGGTGCTTAAACGCAGGAACTAGCTAATCTGTGTGTGTGTGTGTGTGTGTGTGTGTGTGTGTGTGTGTGTGTGTGTGTCTGGGTAAGTGAGTAAATGCACATAGATGTGTGTATTTTCTTGCCTGATAAAAGCCTTTGACTAATGAAGAAAACAGATAAGGCACTTACACTATGGACTATCAAGATCCATTTTTTCTGATATACGGTCCACATAAAATATCTAATAAACAGATAATCCACTTTTCTCTTCTTAAACCCCAGTTTCAAGATTTACTACACTCATGACTTTGGAGCACCATCATATTATTAAAAAAAACCCTGGATGAATGCATTGCATTTGATATTGTATAGATTTTTGTTCTTAAGAACACTGAGGAGTGGGCTGCACCGTTAATATCTGATGCACAAGATATCGACCCGAACTCAGAGTCAAGTTCCACATAAAACCACCAAAGAAAAGATCAAATATGCTGATTACAATGTGGCCTTTCGACATGTTTTCATCAGCTTAAATCTGTGAGATCAGGGGGTGAAAATACAAAAAAAATGTGAGCCCTCAATCTGTCTTCGCAGATCAGTTTTTTCATGATGTTGTCGTTTACAATAATCATTGGTGAAAATCCCTTGATTTCTGAGTGAAAATGTATAATAGTCACATGATACAGCATCTCGTGATTTTGTTTTATTTTGAAGATAAAATGAGCTACAGTTATAAAAGAAACAGTCATTTATGATCATGTACCAGAGAAAACTGTAATTTCCCTATTTGCTTCCAGAGATGCTAAAGTTTATGTGGCACAAAAACCCCTAAAACATACAAATGCTTTCAAATCAGCTGGAATAAGCTTTCTTCACATGCTCCAAAGTAAACCTCCGTCTTCTCCTCTCTATCTCTGGTTCAGTTGTATCGGTGTTCTAGTCTGCTGGGTCTGGACTGGGCTCGGGCTAATGCACAGCTGTGTATGCGGCTGTCGGACCCCAAGGCCCAGACCAAGGTGTTAATTCTATTTCCTGGGTCAGGAAATGCGTCAGGAGGTCAGGGGCCGCATGAGAGAGAAATGCACTTTGTGGCCAGGCTAGAGCAAATCAGAGCTGAACCAGGCCTCGGGCAGGCCCAGGGCCAAGCTCGCTGCAACACTGCTCACATAAAAAGGATCCACTTAGTTTCCAATAACATCATCTCCACATGTAAGAAGAAGAAGAAGAAAAAAAAACTGAAAAAGAAACAACCCAGATACTGTGCACGGACGTATTAATGCACCTGTACAGTAAACAAAACAGGAAGCAAAGAGGAATTCTCAAGTGTGAGAAAGTATCTACAGTTTTGTGTTTGGGTGAACTTGTCACATGTGCACAGATGATTTAATGTGAATCTCAGCCACTCAGCCGACCTCACCGCGCGTGCTGTATTGTCATTTCACAGTTTGTCCAGTCCTGCTCTTGTTCCTCCCCCTCTGCCTTTTAAGTCAGAGGGGCCTCATCTGGTTCGCATCAGCGGCCTTCTCGGCCCATGTCATTATTTCCGCCCAACGCTGCCATGTGTTACAGTGATGGCATTAAAATAATTGGGCCGTTTGTGTTTTGTGTACGTGCACATGTGCTGCTGCAGGTAGGTCCAGAGGGAGCGTTGGCTCAGGGTTAACAGGTCTTCTACTGCGCTGAATCGAGACAACTTGACCGTGAAATTACCTGATGATGGTCAACGGCTACAGCCTTTAGCACCAACCTCAAACTCCTCTTTTACTACTGAATGAAACACCTTGGGCCTACAAAATATCCATACTACATTAGCACGTGATTAGAATTTTGTTGGCAGATATGTTTTGATCAATAACTTGTATCTGATATTGTTGAACTCATTTGGAAAAAGAAACATCACTGAAGTTTGTTGTAGTAGAACGGTTTGAAAAGGACTTCCCCCTTCATGACCAATTTGCTAATGCGCAGATTCAGCTTGAATTCTCAGAAACAGCTGCTTTGTTTATTTGTTTTTAACCTAATGTGGCTCCGCTCGCCTCACTCGCTGACACGCTATGACAAATCTAATTGAAACTGGCTGCTACTGTTGAGCTACTGCGGCTCACTCATCGTTGCTCCACCGACGCCGCTGAGCAGTGCACCAAATGGGAAATATTTAATAAGCGGCGCGTCTAGAGCAAACAAACAAAGGCTCGCAAATGGATTGGGCTTCTGATAAAAATAGAGTTCCCTTAAAAAGCACCCGAATCAATACCAACCCCGACCCTATGGATCGGCTATACAAAGACGGAGGGCGGGGCGATCGAACCGGAAGTTATGGAGAGACGGCTGCTGCTTTCAATTATGAACACAAACACACACACACACAAAACCCATAACTCTAGGGACAATTATCTGCCAGATGATGAGGACGGAAAACAGGCGAGACCAAAGTGAGAAGCAGAGGAGAGGGGGTGTTCAGCTGCCAGATCCTCGGAGCTATCAAAGACAGAACGTGATCCGCCGCCAACCACCAGGGCTCAATTGATAACAGGCTGTGGGGAGGCATTTCCTATTCTTGTGTAGAAGCTCAAGAGAACAACTTCGCTTTGTATCGTGACATAATTTATGGTGGCAGAAAACCACAAGGTGTATCTGTTGGCTGACTGTAATTTAAACACTCAGGCAGCATAATTTTTGGGTAATTTTGAAATAAAATGTGCAGAAAACAATTCTTTTTGTTGCCATGAAGACGGTCTGTACAGCCACTTCATTAGGAACAATGGATATGTTGATTGTGCACTGTGCTGCACCACTCTGATACAGCAAACACATCTCTGATCTGCCAGCAAATTCACCACGAGCAAGTGCCGAGATGATCAGAGCAGCGATACAGTAACTACACACAGTGTTTACTCGAGAAGCAAGCGTGTGCCTAAACACAGACGCAGGCAACAGACACAGCTAAGCAGCTGTAAGGCTTTGGCACACAGAAACATCAGCTGGTCCAAACAGCGCCTCTCTCTCGCTTTGCCGAGTGAAACCCAGGTGCGCGGGCTAAACCCAGCAACCACAAGTCATCACTTGTCAGAATGTCACCTGTTTGCACGTCGGAGCTGAATGGCAGCCTCAAACATCCATAGGGGTGGGCGATGGAGCGACGCGTTGCGAGCCAAGCCTACTTTAAAAAAAAAAAAAAGCACGAGAGCTCTCAAAGCCCCCTTCAACACCAACTGTGAACTGTCTCTGATCAGCCACTTGACAAACAAGCAGTCAAAGATTTACATAGATTAAGCTTTCCTCAGAAGTCAATTCAATGGCTCTGGCAGACGTTCACTGCATTTTGAAGTCAAATGAAAGAAAAGAAACGGAACAAAACAGACAAGGCATGCAAACTGACTAGTCGCAACACACACAAAAAACGATGGTATGGCAGATCAAGGTTATTTCAAGGTGTTTCTGTGGTAGAGGAGGGACTGCTGAGCTGTCACAGAAGTGCTCTTGATGTCTCCTGAGTCTTGGAGCTATGTGAGCAATGCTGTGATTTTGCGCCGCTTCTCTGAAGAACCTGTTAAACGGTTCCTAAGTACTAATTAAACTGTTAGCATGAGACTGCACGTCTGTTATGAGAGTAGAGGGGTTAGGAAATAAGAATAAAGTCAGGATATGTAGAATAATTAACGGCAAAATAAGAGATGTGGGAGCAGAAATTTAAAGACTGCAAATGGGTGCGCGGTGGTTTGTAACTGGCAGAAATTATGCACCAGTAGAGATTATGGCTATGCTATGGATTCAGCTACACGTGTGGAGGTATAGAATATATGTTAATGATCATATTTTTTTTAAAAGGCAATACGACCATCAGCACAACTCATTGCGCGTTAACCTGTGCCAAGTATATCATGCTAGAAGTGGTTAAAGGATACACGTAGGACCAATACACAAGAGTTTTTCATCCCCAGGTCGAACATGGTTTGGTTGTAGGAGAGAGCATCTCCATCACTTCATTTCCGTGACTTGAGAAAATGGTAATATTTAGATCACACTATCTATAGCAGAGGTGAAAGATAAAAACTTGCGTCTGTGTCTTGAATGTTCCGTGTGGACAGCTGGCAGATGTGCCTAGGGATCCTCGCCTTCTGCGATCTACTGATGTGATGAAATGCAGCGTTTCCCACAGAATCACATTCTATTTGTGGCGTGCAGAAGGCGTCACACCCAAGGCTGCTTACATTAAATTACAGTTCACGTAAGGTGCTCCACTGTAAACATTTTAATTGCCAATTACT